AGAGGTGCTCCTCCATGGTGTAGAATTCTTGTTTTCTAAACATTGATGCCTAATAGAATCAATTGGAAAGCTTTTAAAAGGATTGATTCCTGGGCCCCATTCAGAAGTCTACTAAATCATTTTTGGAGGTGAGGTCTGGGCATATGTATTTTTTCAGAGCTCTTCAGAAGTAGACAAATATTTAGGAACTACAGGTGTAGAGTATTACAGAGATGTTTTTCTATACCAAGTACCTTCCCCTCATTGTTGAGCACACTCTAGATTCTCTAGTGACTTTGTAGGCTCCCTGCAAATCTCAAGGGAAATGTTAGATGCAGTTAGTCTGTTGTAATAAGGCATGGGAGTATGAAATAGAATTTTGTATTCAAAACTTTCTGCTTTTTAAAAGAGATCAAAGGTTGACTTGAACAGAAGGGAAATAGAGCAAGAGATCACTAAAAGTTATTTTATCCTGGAGGGAGTCCTGGTCAAATCCATTCTGTCCTATGTAGACTACTGCATTGCTTTGGTAACTTTGGGGGCCCAGAAGAGAGTTGAGTTCTCTTATAAATCTGGTGGTTTGGTATTAACTTTTTAAAAATCTGGGCGGTGACCCAGACAATATTTGATTTATTCTACAATCTATCACCTTTATTGTACTTCACAAATTATAAACAGACATCCCCCTGGCTGGTATGGCTCAGTGGACTGAATGCCAGCCTGGGAACTGAATGGTCACTGGTTTGATTCCTAGTCAGGGTACATGCTTGGGTTGCGGGCCGGGTCCTCGTTTGGGGGCATGCAAGAGGCATCAGATTGATGTATCTTTAACACATCGATGTTTCTCTCCCTCTCTTCCTCCAAAAATAAATAAAAGTTTTTAAAAAAATTATACAGTATGCTTTAATATAATAAATGCCTCAGGGTAGGCAGGAAAAGTGCTGTGATGTCATTTTACAGATGAAAAAACTGTTCCTTAGAAATTAACTGTCTTGTCCATGAGAAAAGACAAGGGTAGAACAAGGACTGGGACCCAGAGTTTTCGAGCCCATTGCTTTTTTCTTTTATTTTTTGCTGTAAATTTGGCCTCAGATTTTGGCTAGAATCAGCCCTGGCTGGGTAGTTGAGGTGGTAGGAGTGTTGTCTTATATACCAAAGGTGTGTTGAACAGGTTCAATCTCTGTTTGGGGCATGTATAGGAGGCAACTGATTGATGTTTCTCTCTCTCTCTTCTCCTTCCTCTCTGTCTCAAATCAATAAACATATCCTTGGGTGAGAATTGAAAGGGAAAAAAATTTTTTTGGCCAGAATCAAATCACAGGATATAAAGTTGGTTAATTCTCAGGAATTTTCTTCAACATACCCCTGCAGGCATTGTGTCGGGCAGAGGATGAAGAGGACATCCAAGCAGCCACCCAGGCCAAGGCTGAACAGGTGGCTGAGCTTGCAGAATTCAATGAGAATGATGGGTTTCCTGCTGGTGAGGGAGAGGAGGCCGGTCGGCCTGGGGCTGAGGATGAGGAGATGTCCCGGGCTGAGCAGGAAATTGCTGCCCTTGTAGAACAGGTCAGTGTTGGACCCACTAGCTCTCAACCTTACCCTCTACAATTCCTTCCTCTGGACTCTGTGACCCTCCTGTCTTACCTGGTAAAAATAATCAGAGCTGATGGGCCCTGGGCACCAGGTCCCTATGTTTATCACTAGTGCTTCTCCCCACAGCTGACCCCTATTGAGCGCTATGCTATGAAATTCCTGGAAGCCTCACTGGAGGAGGTGAGCCGAGAGGAGCTCAAGCAGGCAGAAGTAAGTAGCTCTAGGGGTTGGTGTTGCAAGTGGGAAGCTACTGCTTTTTACCCACTCACCACCCTGCTTGCCTCTTTCTGACCACCCTGTGGGCTCTGTTGTTGGTAGGAACAAGTGGAAGCTGCCCGGAAGGACTTGGACCAAGCCAAGGAGGAGGTGTTCCGCCTACCTCAAGAGGAAGAAGAGGGGCCAAGGGCTGGGGATGAGGTTTCCTGTGGGACTGGTGGAGGCAGTCACCGGCGCAGTAAGAAGGTTAAGGCTCCTGAGAGGCCAGGGACTCGAGTCAGTGAGCGTCTTCGTGGAGCCCGGGCTGAGACTCAAGGAGCAAACCACACTCCTGTCGTATCTACCCATCATACCCGCAGTACCTCCACAACCCCCCGCTGCAGCCCTGCCAGGGAGCGAGTTCCTAAGCCAGCATCTAGGCCTCGACTTACTCCAGGTTCAGCTCCTGCTGCAATTCCTGTCCCAGTCCCTGCCCCAATGCCCATTTCAGCTCCAAATCCATTAACCATGCTTCCTGTCCATATCTCACCTTCTCCTCCACTTCCTCTGCAGATTCCTCCCTCTTCTTCTGCCTGTACACCTCCTCCTGCCTGTACCCCTCCACCAGCTCATACTCCACCTCCAGCCCAAACCTCTGTCTTAACTCCTACCTCCCCTCTCTTGCTTGGTCTACCTTCTGTGCCCATCTTCCCCACAGTCACCAACCTCCCCTTGGGCCTGGGACCTGAGGCAGAGCTGTGTGCACAAACATTAGCATCTACTGAGTCCCTGGAGCAGGCTGATAAGGCCTGTTCTGAGACTTCCTTGCTTATGCCCCCTTGTATGCCCCCTGAGGATCTGTTGCCAGTTGCTGTTGAGATCCTGCCTATGTCAGAGAAGAACCTTTCTTTCACTTCTTCTGCACCTAGCCCAATTCTGGAGGCTGGCAGCTTTCCCAATGGTCAAGAGCAGGAGGTACCTGAACCTGCTGAGGGGACCATCCTCACAGTACTGCCTGATGGTGAGGAGGTGCCCATGTGTCTGAGTGAGAACAATGGGCTGACGCTCCCACCTTCAGCAGCATCTGATGAGCTATTTCACTTGCCATTGGAAGCTGACAAGAACTCAGAAGAGCTGGTGGAGGCCGGGACCCCAACATCCAGCCCACAGAAGCCACAGGAACTTGTTTCAGCTGAGGTTACAGCTCCATCAACCTCATCTTCAGCCACCTCCTCACCTGAGGGTTCTTCGTCTGCCAGGCCCCCTCGGCGTCGCACCAGTGCTGATGTAGAAATTAGGGGTCAGGGGGCTGGTCGGCCAGGGCTGCCTCCAGGCCCTAAAGTGCTTCGCAAGTTGCCGGGACGGCTAGTGACTGTGGTAGAGGAAAAGGAACTGGTGAGGCGACGGCGACAGCAGCGGGGAACTGCCAGTACCCTAGTGCCTGGGGTCTCTGAGACTGGTGCCAGCCCAGGAAGCCCATCTACCCATAGTATGTTGGGGCCAGAATCCTCACCTCCCACCAGTGGGCCCTGTGAAGCTGCTCCCCCATCCACACTGCCCACCCCAACCCAGCAGCCCTTTGTAGCTCGCCGTCGCATTGAGCTGGGGGTGACTGGAGAGGGCAACCCAGAGAATGGAGAAGGGTCTCTGCTTGCCATCACCCCTCCTGCTGTGAAACGTCGGAGGGGGAGGCCTCCCAAGAAGAACAGGTCTCCAGCAGATGCTGGGCGAGGGGCTGATGAGGCACCTTCATCCACCTCTAAGGGAAAAACCAATGGGGCTGACCCAGTCCCTGTGGCTGAGGCCCTTACTGTTGCAGAGTCTATACTTGGACCCCAGCCAATTCATAAACCCGAGCCCATCGTGTCACCTGTGGAGAAAAGAAGGCGTGGTCGGCCCCCTAAGGCACGAGATTTACCCATTTCTGGGACCATTTCCTCTCCAGGGGATGGCAACTTAGAGAGCCGGACACAGCCAGTCCCAGTACCACCACCCGTGCCACCACTCCCAACACCACTTGTATCCTGTCCCATTGCTACTGTCGCCAACACTGTCACCACTCTGACCATTTCAACATCCCCACCCAAGCGGAAGCGGGGCCGACCTCCCAAGAATCCACCATCACCTCGGCCCAGCCATCACCCTGTCTTGGACCGTGACACCTCCTCTGTCCTTGAGAGCTGTGGATTGGGGAGGCGGCTGCAACCCCAGGGCCAAGGGGAGAGTGAGGGTAGTTCCTCTGATGAGGATGGAAGCCGCCCCCTCACCCGCCTGGCCCGCCTGCGCCTTGAAGCAGAGGGAATTCGGGGAAGAAAGAGTGAAGGGTCCATGGTAGTGGCTCTAATTCAGGATGACTTGGATTTAGCAGATGGTGGGCCAGGCGGGTTAGAGTCAACGCCTCCTGTGGTCTCATTAGCTCCAAAGCTGCGCTCCACCCGGCTGCGGCCAGGGTCTCTAGTTCCCCCACTAGAGACTGAGAAGGTGCCTCGAAAACGGCCAGGGGTCCCAGTTGGCAGAGGCCCTGGGCCTGCAAAGCGAGGCCGCCTACAGTCCCCAAGTCCCTTGGGGCCTGAGTGTTCAGTAGAGGAGTCTGAGGCTGAAGCCTCAGGTGAGGAAGAAGAAGGGGATGGGACCCCACGCCGCCGGCCTGGCCTCCACCGGCTTGGTGGGACAACCAATCAAGGGGACCAGCGCATCCTGCGCAGCAGTGCTCCTCCCCACCCAGCTGGCCCTACTGTTAGTCACAGAGGCCGAAAGGCCAAGACGTGAATGGGCTGCCCTTCCACCTAGGCTTTCCACCATGGCCACTCTCCCTCCACAACCAGGCCTGATTCTGTTAACCACTACTTGAAGTCTTACGAGGGGGAAAGCCTCCAGGGAGATATAGAGGCCTCCTCCCTTCTTTCCACCAAAGTAGGGTGTAGGCAGCTGGTTGTCATGGAAATGGGGCACTTCACATATTCCCTTCCCTTCCACCCCACATGGATGGGCAGTGTTAGGGTGGCAAGATAGTCTCTGTCCCCACCCCCTGGATTCCCAAGCAACCTTTTACAGCCCCCCACCCTTAGGGGAAGGGGGAGGGGCTTATCTACAATGAGTTTTTTTTTTTTTTTTTTTAAGAAGAAAAAAAAATAATAAACTTAGTTTCTGTATGAGCATCCGTGTAAGGAGGCTTCTGATTTTCTGGTCTGGTGGAGGGTTGGGTGGGAATTTGGGCATCTTTTCTGCCAAGATCTTAGTACATCATTTCTGACCCATATTTATATATCTTTAAGATAGAGATCACCTAAGAAGAGGGAAGATTCGGTAAATGTTGTCTCTTGGTTGGGTGCTTTTCCCTAAAATTTACAGTCACTCATAGAGTCATGGTTTTCCTCTCCCTTCTCTTAGTTCCTGGACTTTCCCTCAGAGTTCTCTGATGCCTTAGAGTTTTCCCTGCTTTTATTTCCCTTTCTCAGGTGCTTTTACTATTTTCCCAGAAGGCAGGCATCACTACCTTGAGTTGCTTCCATTGTTTTCCATCCTTTGGTTTCCTCCATCTAGCCAAACTGGTTTGAGTCAGCTACACCCCCATATGAGCTCCTGGGGCTCTTCAGGTGGTGGCTGGCCACCCAACCCCACCCCTGGGCTTGGCTTGAAGCTCTGAGTCAGTTCCATCTCTACCCGAGCCAAATCAAACCTGAGGCAGAAGCTGAAACTCACAGTACCTCAAGGCCTATAGCCAGGTAAGAGCCCCTGTTCATTTTTACATTTTCTCTGATCTCAGCTCCCTGGGCCCTCTCCTTGTGTTCCCCCACCATGTCTGTATCAGTTCACCTCGTGGGAATTCCTTCCTCATACCTACTACAGCTTTGTGGCATGTGTTCCTTTGTTCTCTGCTTATCTTGTCTCTTCCACCCTTTGTATCTTGTGTTGTATTCAGAGAACCGCAAATGCTTTAATTTTATCTAGGATGTAGGGGAATGGTTGGAGATGATGTTTTGGTACCAGAGCTCAGAGGACCTGAGAAAGAGAGAGATGAGAAATGATTAAGTAGGGCATCATTATGCAGGTTTCTTTGTGGGTTATGAAGTCATCCTGACTTGGTGATAATCTAATTGTATTGTGTGGCCTGGGTTGAAATGGAGAGAGGAAATGGTAGGGAGTCAGTATAGCAAAGGAGGCCCCAGTTTGGGGAGGTAAGGTCTTTCTGATGTTGTTTGCTCAACTATAAAGGCAGCTTAGATGGGTACTTTTTCCCATCCAGAAAATTGTGTTTTCGTGTGAAATGACTGTTCAGGGCCTAGGGTGCCATTTTCAGATCCTGCCTTAATATTCCTGAGGAACTTAGGGACATTTTAGTGCCCTTTGATACACAGTTTAAAAATCAGACTTTGATAGTTTCAGATTCCTAGCAGGTGTTGAGATTCTATTTCCCGCTTCTCAGTGTGTACCAGTCATATTGCTTTTCCCTGCTTGTCAAAACACTATTACAGATAATGCTATGTTCACATGGCCTGCCTTTAAAGACTCCATGTCTTAGGCTGAGAAAAAAGGATTTCAGTCACACGTGTCCTCTGTTGGTCTATGAGTCATTAGAGGAATTCCCCAGTAGGGCAGCATTCCTGAGAGGTGGGCTAGGTCACAAGAACAGGAACAGAGAGGGGTAGAGTCTGAGCAAGCCAGGCCAAGGGCTCAGTTTTGGGGTTTAAAAGTACCTTGACTGTATCACCCACAGGTGATGGAGGACGAGGAGAATGCAGTGGAAATCTTGGTGAGCAACATGGAAGCTGCTCATTCTCCATCCCCCATTCGCTGCTGCTGGCTCCGCCTCCGCTACTTGGCAGCTACTAGCATTATCTGTGGCTGCTCTTGCCTGGGAGTCATGGCCCTTGTGTTTGCCATCAAGGTGAGGAATGCAGTACCTATGGGAGCAGAAGGGTGGGTGTAGCAAGGCAATTGGTATATATATCTGGTAAAGCTACATTGATCAAACAGTTACTAAGTACCTATCAAAGCTTAGTGTTGAGCTTCGTGCCCGAACTAAGAATAAGACATGGTTCCTGCTGTCAAAGCTTCCACAATCTAATGAAAGAGATAGCTGTGAAAATGGATAATTATTAATGGAATGTAACTCATTGGTACTATGTGGAATATTAATGGAATGTAACTCATTGGTACTCTGTGGAAAAACCACAGAGTATTCTGGGAACTGGGGAGGATATATGTGTGTGATTACCTATGTGTAAATAAGGGTAGGTGGCAGGAAAATAACCATATAGGATGAGTGAATTAGGGTAAACGGCATTCCAGATAAAGGAAGCAGTGTGTACAATGGCCTGGATTATTAGTTCAGCATGACTGGATCAGTGAGAAATAGTAAGAGATGAAGCCAGAGGGTCCAGACTCCCAACGGCCTCCAATGTTTAGGAGTTCAACTTTATTTTGAAAATACCGGGAAGCCATTCAAGGGTTTTTGCAGAGTAGAGGAACATGGTCAAATTTGTGTTTCAGTAGGATCGACTCTCAAGGCCAACATGGAGAATGAATTGGAAGAGGCAAGACTGGAGGCAGCTGAGCAGTGATGAGAGCAATCTGTAGGAGCCCAGGAGAAGCTATAGGGGTTTTGAGAGGGCTTCACCATTTCAAAATTCCTAACAGAAACTGCACATTTATCTTTGGAAAGGTCACATAGGCTAACTTAAACATGCTGGAATTTTCCCAATGCTAGTTATATTTTAACAATCAGAAACTGTATTCCTGCCATCATAAGAAGTTCTGGGCTCCATTAGGGCAAAATCATAAAAATAATTCTTAATAATGAAAAAGAGGAGAGCCATTGGACTAACGAGAATCGGATGTTCTTTGGACATGAGTGAAATGCTCCTAGCTTACTATTTCTTATCAAGAATTTCAAATTTGGAATGAGTAGAAAAGAATAGGGAATTAAAGGATTGAAAAGTACTTTACCATGTGTGATCTTGTGAGCTAACAATGGCCACCCTGAAAAGCAAGCAGAGCAGAATGGATAACTTATTTTGCAGATGAGGCATGAGAAATAGAAACTGGAAAGGGAGGTAGATGATTTGGGTGTGAGGTTTTGAGCTGTGACAAGGGTAGAAGATTGGAGTGGGGCTCTGGGCACTTTGGGACAGAAGCAGGGGGAGAACCTAATTAAAACCTGCCCCCACAGGCGGAAGAGCGGCTTAAGGCAGGCCAGTCCGAGGAAGCCGTGCACTGGGGGGCCCGGGCCCGGAGGTTCATCCTGGCCAGCTTTGCCGTCTGGCTTGCCATCCTCATTATGGGCCCCCTGCTTCTGTGGCTGCTCTCTTACGCCATTGCTCAAGCTGAGTGACTCTGGGTGGCCTCTGCTGAGAGTCAGCCGGGACCTCCCGGATCCTGCAATGTGACATTGCTGGAGTCCAGTGCCAGCAGTGGTCCTTCCTGGCTGGAGGATGGTGCCTCTCTCAAAGGGCTTTTTGGAAGAGCTCTTCTAGCCCTTTATAAGAGGAGGCAGCAGCTGAGACTGATGAGGGGAGGTCAGCCTGTTCTGTTTTTTCAGTGTTCATCATTCCCTGTTCTCCCTCAACTTACCTAATCCTAGCTGCCTCTACCCAGAGGTGGGGTTGAAGACCAGGCCTGATTTTATTAGAATTTGTTTTGTAATAAAAATCTTTTTTTAGTGGTGAACTGCTGCTCCTGTCTACTTGTTCTTTGTTTACTTTTCTCTGGACCTTGGTGAGACCCAGAGTGGACATCTGACTCACAGTAGAAGTCTGCATTTTTTCCTTACCCAGTTGCTCCTTGAGAAGGAAAGATTTTTTTTCCTTCTTCTGGAAATACCTCTTTTTAGAAAGACTCCAGCTTCTCCCTTACATCCGAACAGAGACCCTGAGACCATAGAACAAGAGTAGTAGCACCAGTTACTATTTATTGAGTGCTTGATATATCCCAGGTTTTCTGAACACCTGGGATAGGTGTGCTCTAAAAATAAAATTAAATAAATAAATACTTTATATTTTTTAATTCCTTCAGTTCTCACAGTCACTCAGTAAGTAATAAGTGCCACTGTTCTCATTTTATAGTTGAGGAAACAGGCACAGATTATAAGGTCATACAGCTAGCAAGAGGCAGAGCTGGGATTGAACCCAGACAGTTTGGTTCCAGAGTTGAGAGAGGAGTGAAAGGATTAGATATAGCAACCATTACCCTCTATATGGAGATGTCTATGATTATAGTGAATTTCCATACCCTTTATCTTGGGCATAATGATAATATTTTAAACATTTTAAAAATGAGATATATCACACATACAGGAAAATATCCAAAACAAGTACACAGCTGAATAAGTTAACACAGAGCAAACATCTGAAAAGCCATCATTGAGTTCAGAAACTGAACATTGTCAGCACTCCAAATCCTCCTTAATATGCCTCCTACTCACTATTTACTTTGTTTGAGCAGGTAACTATCATCCTGACTTCAAACAATGTAGTTTAGTTTTGCCTGCATTTGAATGTTTTATACATGGATTAATATGTATTCTTTTTATGTCTGGCTTCTTAATGTTCTTTGTGATAGTCATCAATCTTTGATGTAACTATACTTTTCATTACTATGTAGTATTCCATTACACGAATATATATCCATTTTATGTTGGTGGATTTGGGGGATGCAGTTTGGGGATATCATGAATCATTCTGCTGTGGATATTCTTTCTGGCACATGTCTCTTGAAGTATGTGTGCCCTGGGAGTGGAATTTTTGGGTTATTTTATCATAATTCAGAGACCAGCAGAGCACCTAAAAGATTTAGAGATACTGCAAACTGAAGACAGAAGATTAAAAGGGAAGGAGAAGCATCTGATGGTTGTCTTCAGTGTTTCAATGTGCTCCAAGAAGGAAAAAGTGAAGAGAATTCATTGTTGGTTTCAGAGTTTAGAATGACACCATAGGTAGAGGCCAGGCTTATGGCAGCAGTTCTCAACCCTGAACCATGTGGGGAACTTTAAGAAGTACTTATGTTTGGGCTTTACCTTTAGAGATTCTGATGTAATTGGTGTGAGATCCTGCATGGTCCTCAGGATAATACATTTTAGAGAGATTTTTACAGAAACTTTAAGAAGCTGATATTTGATTAATCAGCATCTTCAGTTTGCTAGAAAAGAATATCTCATTTCCTCAAACTGATTGAGGTCTTGCTAATTTTTAACTGCTTTGAAAAAAATTTCAAACCTACAGAACAATAAAAGAAGAGCATAATGAACTCATGTGTACTGTTCAGCTAGACTTAAAATATTTAATATTTCCTCATATTTACTGTGTATTTTTCTAAATATATATGTTGTGCCTGACTGGTGTGGCTCATTTGGTAGGGTGTCATCCCACAAAGCAGAAAGTCACCAGTTCGATTCCTGGTCAGGGCATATGCCTGGGTTGCTGGTTTGGTCCCTTGCCGGGGTGTGTGCAAAAGGCAACCAACCAATCAATGTTTCTCTCTCACATCAATGCTTTTCTCCCCTCCCTTTCTCCTTCTCTAAAAAATAAATAAAATCTTTAAATATACACATTGTTACTACTGAACCATTCAAAGTTAAGTTGCAGGCTCATCATTCCTAAGTATTTTATGATCTATTTTCTAAGAATAAAAATATTTTCTTGTGTAACTAGGAAACAGTTATATAATCCACAGAAGTTAACATCAATACAATATCTTCTAATATATTGTCCATATTCAAATTTGATGTCTCAATAACATCCTTTATAGCACTTTATTTTCTGCTTTAAGGTCCATTGTGGGAACACACTCATTACATTCAATTGTCTCTTATCTTTTGGTCTTCAGTTTTTATTTAGTAGGTCCTTATCTCTTTTTCTTCTTTCTTTCTTTCTTTCATGACATTTTTGAGGGTAGGGCAGTTTATTAAATGTTCTTTCTCAGTTTGGGTTCTTATGATTGGATTCAGGTTAGAAATAATACTACATAATGTCCGTGTGTCCTCAGTACATCATATCAGTAGGCATGTATGTCAGTTTACTCTCTTACTGGTGGTAGTAACATTGACAACTGGGTTAAGGGAATGTCTGTTAGATTTCTGCAAGGTAAAGATACCTTTTATTCTCTGTGATTAAAAAGTCTGTATAAATATCCTGTTCCCCAGCAAATTTTTGCCAATAATTTTAATGCCCAATTTGCCCAAGACAATTATGAGGCTTATAAAATGCTGATGTTTTATGTTTATCATTCTACATTTTAGTTGGCATTCTGTTATGAAGAAGGTCCTTTTCTCCTTCATTATTTACAGTTTTTAGTGTCAGTATGATCTCAGATTGTTCTTTAGTTCAATTTATTACATCCACTACTGTCATTATTCTTCTTGAAATGTTTTGTTGAGGTATAATTTACTTACAGTAAAGTGCAGAGATCTTAAGTGTGCAGTTTGGTTAATGTTTTGATATGAACACACCTATTTAATCACCATCTAGGTGAATAGATCATTTCTGGTACATCAGAAGGGTCCCTCATAGCCCTCACCACCTCATTATTTCTGTCCCTGGTTTTGGCCAGTGGAAACTCCTTTAACCTGGTTTTTGTGTCCTGAGGAGTCCCCACCTTTTTTCACTTTCTGGCACAAATTATTCTAGCTTCATCTTGCACTTCCTCTCTGCCTGCCTGGGAATTGGCTATCTCTCTCAGCGAGTCCTGGTTCCTCTTATTGGGAACTGTTATTTTGAAGTCAGTGTCTAGACACAAGCCGTGCTCATTCTACTGAGGTGTTACTTTGCAAATTTGTGTGTCATCCTTGTGCAGGGGCCATCCTAATCTCTGGGTCATTTCAATTTTAGTGTATGTGGTGCCAAAGTGAGCACTCTACTGGGATGTTATTTCTTCTAGGCTCTTTCAGGGGTAAGAGCTAGAAAATACATTAATTTTTCTATTTTAAATCTTTCTAAAATCACGTTCAATTTAAATCAATCTTAAGGTTCTTTCTCTCCTTTTCCCACTCTAAATTCCATATTCCCACAGTAAGAACCTTGGCTGCCAAATACATAAATACGTTTATTTACTTTTTCAATTTCAGAATAATTATACTACCAAATAACAAGCCTACTAAGTAAAGTTAAAGATTTTTTGCAGTTATTTTGTGTTTAGATTGATGGTATAGTCAAAGCACTCCATTAAAAAGTTACTTGGACTTTTACATGGTTGTGATTGCAAAATGACATTTCTAAGATTGTTGTTGGGTTAGATAAATTCATTTTGTACCTCCTTTGCTGGAACACAACTTCTACAAGGGCAGGAATTTTTTTTCCCCATTGCTGTAAGTCCCCTTTGCTGTTAGCCACTTTCAACCTGTGTGCCTCAAGAATTTTTAAAACGTACAATACCTATTTAGTTGGGCACTGACCTCTGTTCCCTTAGATGATCAAATTTAATAAATCACAACAGCCAACACAGCAGCCATCTAATGTAAATGAATCAAAATTATACCTGTTTTTGTCAGATCAGTAAAAATCATACACTTTTTGTGTGCCACAGAATTTCAGAATTAGTGTATATGTGCCATGAGATGAAAAGGTTGAAAATCACTGGTCTATCTAGCGCATAGACGCTCAACAAATACATCTATCTTGTATCTCACTGAAGATGTTTCATTGATTTGAGAGAGATGGGAAAGGGGGACATCCATCAGGGATGGAACCCAGAACCTAGATATGTGACCTGACTCAAGATCCAACCACAACCACCTTTTTTCGGTATACAGGACAACGCTCCAACCAACTGAGCCAGCCACCCTGCCAGGGTTTAACAAATATCTGTTGAATGAGTAAGTGAATGCTGAGATTAAGCTGTGCACTGAGACGGTTTATGAAAGAAGTCGCTCCTGGCAGAATCTCACAACCTGGTAGGCTTAGGACAGAGTGTGATACTCCCCCAAGGCTTTTAGGGGGTGGTGGAAGATTGGGAAAATGTACAGCCCTAGCTGGTGAGCACTGGGGCTTTAGAAATATACTCAAGAGAGCAGTCACCAGAGGACGCAACCTCTTATGGCTGACGACGTGGGATGTTCAAGTCCTCACAAAGTGGCCAAATTGATGTAAAAGCTGTGTGTGTTCCTAGAGCTCTCACGGCTAGAGTTGCCCCTCAAGCCAGGGCTGCTAATATAGGGCCTAATTCACAGAATGATGCTGGGAGGAGACTGAGAGGACAGCGCCTAAATCGGGGAATCCAGGCGCAGCCTGTTCACATCGGTAACCCAGACCTCAAGCTTCCCAGAAAACCTAGCTTCCGGGTCGCTTACCAGGCCTCCAATCCCACTGGTCAACAAGTTCCTGTCCCCCGCAGATTCCCTGCACTGACTGGTCATATTTGAAGCCCCGCCTTAGCCGGGCTTACAGACGTTGCCTTAGGGTAACTACTAGCTCCAACGCCCGCTCCTGGCCCAGTATTTTCGGCTTCCTATTGGACAATCAGTTTCCAATCGCAAGGGTTTTTAAAGCTCAGTCTTCAGGGAACGCTGGCTATTGGCGGACAAGGTGGAGGCGGGGCCGGAGGTTATTGCCGGCAGCGACCAGGGTAAGGAACTAGACAGAAGCAAAGTCCGCGACTGAGCGGCCTCGCGTGGTCCCCAGCTTCATTCCTTTCCCCAACGCAGGTGATTCTCCGCGACATCCCGCGCCCCTTTGCAGTGCTTGCAGAAGTGCGCCTGCGCAGCAACAGCCACTTGCCCTTTTACCCCGTCCCTTTTCTCCACGCCTTTTTCCTTTCCTTTCCCGCCCCCCCCCCCCCGCCAACCTTCCCGCCCTTAGGCCCTTTGGCGGGGGTCTCCCCAGTCCCTGTCCTTCCCCAGCCCCTATTCTTCCCCAGCCCCGTCCCCAATCCCCAATCCCCAAGATCCTGGCGCCCCAGCCGCAAGGACTGTGCCTCCGCGAGCCGCAATGTGCGTCCTCTCAGAGCCTTTGGGCCTCCCTGCCATCACTACCTTCCGTTTTCTCCACACAGGCCCCCACCTCCGTCAGAATGACTCTGGACGTGGGACCGGAGGATGAGCTGCCCGACTGGGCCGCGGCCAAGGAGTTTTACCAGAAGTACGACCCTAAGGACATCATTGGCAGGTGAGACCATAACCAGGACAACGAAGATCCAGAGAGGTCGGGTACTAGTTAGGATCCCCAGTTCGATCTAAGGATTGCACAGTTCTAAATGAGAAAGGCCAATGGTTAGTTTGGTGACTAGGCTCTTTTTCTAAAAGTATATTTTATTTACTATGCTATTACAGTTGTCCCAGTTTTTTCCTCCCCTTTATCCCCCTTTTGCCCTGCATTCCCCTCCCATTCTCCAGCATCCCCTTCCCCCTTAGTTCATGTCCATGGTTTGTACATAAAGTTCTTTGGCTTCTCTATTTCCCATACTCTTCTTATCCTCCCCGTCCCCCATCTATATTTTATGCTTACTAATTATGTCCCTTATTCATTCTACCTCCCTCCATTCTCCTCCTCCCCCTCTTCACTGATAACCCTCCATGTGATCTCCATTTCTATGATTCTGTTCCTGTTCTAGTCGTTTGCTTAGTTTTTGTTTTTTATTTTCTATTGTTGACAGTTGTGAATTTGTTGTCATTTTACTGTTCATAGTTTTGATCTCCTATTTCTTAGATAAGTCCCTTTAACATTTTATATAACAAGGGCTTGGTGATGACGAACTCCTTTAACTTGACCTTATCTGGGAAGCACTTTATCTGCCCTTCCAATCTAAATGATAGCTTTGCTGGATAGAGTAATCTTGGATGTAGGTCTTGCCTTTCATGACTTGGAATACTTCTTTCTAGCCCCTTCTTGCCTGTAAGTTCTCTTTTGAGAAATCAGCTGATAGTATCATGGAAACTCCTTTGTAGGTAACTATCTCCGTTTCTCTTTTTGCTTTTAAGGTTCTCTCCTTATCTTTAATCTTGGCTAATGTAATTATGTGCCTGGGTGTATGCTTCCTTGGTTCCAACCTCTTTGGGACTCTGGGCTTTATGGACTTCCATGGAAGTCTATTTTCTTCACCAGATTGGGGAAATTTTGCTTCATTATTTTTCAAATAAGTTTTAAATTTCTTTCTCTTGTTCTTCTCCTTTTGGTACTCCTATGATTCAAGTGTTGGAGCACTTAAAGTTGTCCTGGAGGTTTTTAAACCTCTCCTCTTTTTTCTTCATTCTGTTCCAGTGGAATGTTTATTTCTTCCTTCTCCAAATTGTTGATTTGAGTTCTGGTTTCCTTCACTTCACTGTCGGTTCCCTGTATATTTTTCTTTATTGCATTTTGTATAGCCTTAACTTCTTGCTTTATTTTGTGGCCCTACTCAATCAATTTTGTGAATTTCTTGATTACCAGTGTCTTGAACTCTGATAGGTTGGCTATCTCTTTGTTGCTTAGTTCTATTTTTGGAGCTTTGATCTGTTCTTTCATTTGGGCCATAATTCTTTGTCTTTGCGCACCTGTTACATTATCAGGGAAGGAGCCTCAGGTATTCACGAGGGCGGGGCAGCCCATGTTGCTGCATGGTGGCTCTGTATGTGGCAGAGGGGTCCAAGAGGGAACAATGCCACTTGCTTGGCTCTTTCTCTGCTTTCAGTCACTTCCCCTGCTTCTCACAAGTGAATTGGGTCCTTTCAGGTGCTGATCTGGTGCTGATTCCTGTGTGGGTAGGTTGGGGTATGTTCTAGGACCCCATGAGCCCCTCCAACGGACTTTCCTGTGAGACTGGCAGTTTCTCCCCACCCCCACCCCCTGACTGCAACCCCACAGGTGTTTATAGCCAGAGATTTTGAGGGTTTTTTTTTTCCTGCTCTGGGTCCTGGATTGCCTCATCTGTCTCACTCCCCAGGTGTTCCTCCTGGTTTATCTGCTTGGGAATGTGGGACCACCCAGTCCACCAGCCTGTTGCTTTGCCGAGTGTCCTCTCCACCCTGCTGCCCATCTCCACCCCTCCTACCAGTGTGAATGATTGTTTTTTCTTTAACTCCCTGGTTGTAGGACTTCCATACAGTTCAATATTCTGGCATTTCTGGTTGTTTTTTGTTTTAAATTGGTTGTTATCCTCTTTTTTGTTGCGTGAAGAAGTGAAGTGTACCTACCACATCTCCATCTTGGCCAGAAACTTGGGTGACTAGGCTCTTATTCTGGGTTAATCCCCATTTTTTCAAAAACATGCATTCATTTATGTGTTCAAACTTAGCTGAGTTATCTACTGTGTGCAAGACACAAAGCTAAACAGGGGAGGGAAGAAAAGAAGCTTATGCCGTGGAGGTACTCCAAGTGAAATGCCTGAGAGAGACATGCAAACAGTCAAAAAGTATATAGATGGTAGTTGGTGAGAGAATATAGACAGAGAAATGAAAGGGGTCTAGGCTCAGACCTTGAGGCATATCATGAAGGAGTGAGAGAATAAGAAGCCAGAAAGGGAGACTAAGGAGAGTCTATGAGTTAGAAAGAACAACATAGGAAGAAAGTGCTTCTGGGCATTGGCATGGTCTGCTGTGACGAATGCTGCTGAGGCCAGGAAAGCAGATGAGGATGCGTTCATTAGATTTGTTCATAGTCCTTGGAGAAATCACATGGAGATATCAAAAAGTTGATTTGGATCAGGAATTTTGGAGAAAAATGAAGGCTCAAGGCAATGTAGCAAGCATCATTTACATATAGCTGGTATTTAAAGCCCATGAGACTGGGTGGAGGTCACTAGGGGAGAGTACTCAAAAGAAGAGAGCTGAGACTCAAGTCATAAGTCACAGGATTTCAGGACCAGGTAAGGGAGGATTCACGGAGGCCAGGAAAAACCCTTAGGGAAGATCAGTGGTTCCACTACCAAGGGGTGGAACCAGTTATGGAAGATCAGAGGGTAGGGTTCTCATCATCTCATTCTCTTGTTTTTTTCTGCACAGGAAATTATGTATACACTATCACTAAATTAATTTTCCCAGAGTACCATTTTCTTCATGTATAAAGGCCTGAAACTTTAATTAGATTAGGACTCAGACTCAGATGCACTTAGTGGTGGGCATGAAATAAAACTGTGAGGTGGCTAAGAGTAAGACAGTGGGAGGTGGTGAGCATTGTGATAGCTGGAGGGTCCTTGTCTCATGTAAGGTGTGTGAATTCAGATTTGTAAAGAACATTGCCTGACCAGACATAACACAGCTGTGGGCTGTGTTTTCCAGAGGGTCAGTACTTTGCATCCTTTGATTGAACCAGAGATGTGGATAACAGGCATTCTAAGCAAAGGGAATTATGTAAGGTCAAGGAGGCCCTGAGAGCACAGCTTACGTGAGTAAGGTTGTGAAGGACAGCCAGGGAACTAGCATATGACATGTGTGATCCTGGAGAGATATGGACCTTAGTCTGAGGTACTTGGAGGGTCAAATGGAGTTGGTGATAAGACCTGAGCAAGGAAATCTCTGTCTAGTTACTTTATCTTTACAATGTCAAATGGGCTCTTCCTCATTAATGTCTTTCAACATTCCTTCAAGATATCGTTGGCCACATTTCAGAGCTGGAGAAGCAGAGGCCCAGAGACTTTATGTCGGTGGGTCCCTTGAAGATTAACTTGGTTTGGGCAAATCTGGGGCCCGAACCAAGATCTCCTAATTCTCAACTTTAGTCTTCTAGTCAATGGCCCAATATTTATTTGAAGCCTCCTATACTTGAGGTAATATAGGGAAACTTTGGGATTTGGATGGGGTAATCATCAAGTGTAGGTAAAATTTGGAGGGAGCCTGGATCGCTTCTTCCCACTTTCTCCCTGTGGGGTTTCAAGGTAAGGGCCAGATTCTGGGGCTCGGTGTATAAAGGATTTGCCTAGGCTCACCCATGGATGGTATGGCAGAGGCTGGCTTTACATCCAGCACCCTTGCCTGCCTTCTCTGTGAGCCTTGTGGTGCACCTTGCTGGTTACCCAGATTGCTTGCCGAGGCTGCTGTGAAGTTACTGTAGGCCAGGATGAGCTTCTTGGGAGGTTACTTTGTCTAGATGGGTCTTCAGTCTGGTGCAATGTGTATGAGGGTGCTGAGGCTCTACCCTTCTTAGAAGCGAGAGAGCAGGAGGTCCTGACTCCTGTGTTGTCTGACTCTGGCAGAGGAGTAAGCTCTGTGGTCCGCCGTTGTGTTCATCGAGCTACTGGCCATGAGTTTGCTGTGAAAATCATGGAGGTGACAGCTGAGCGACTGAGTCCTGAGCAGTTGGAGGAGGTGCGAGAAGCTACACGGCGAGAGACACACATTCTTCGCCAGGTCGCTGGCCACCCCCACATCAGTGAGGCTGCATCCCCTGCTCCTGCTAGCTGACAATCACCACCTGCTGGCCCTGCCCATAGCCCACTCCCCCCAACACTGCCTCCAGCCCTCTGCTCCCTTCCTTCTGGCTCTGCTCCACCTCAAAGTGTGGCTAGCCTTTGGGTCCCTATTGCCTCTTTTGGTTCTCCTTCCTTCCCAGTAAGAGCCCACTGTTGCCTCAGGGTGGAAAGCCCCTTTGACATGCATCTACTCCTTTCCATCTCTGTCTCTCTGCCTTTCTACCTCTTTCCCCAGTCACTCTCATCGATTCCTACGAGTCTTCTAGCTTCATGTTCCTGGTGTTTGACCTGTGAGTATCTCCCTGCCCAGATTTGAGAAGCCTCCTCACTTCCATGCATGGCCTCAGCCTTACAGCACAGTGGGCTGAAGGCCACCCTGCTCACACCTTCCTGTTTCAGCTGGGGCCTGCCTGGTGGTCCATGGTGCTGGCCCCTTTCCTAGGTGTCCTGAGCAAGTTCTTCAAGAGTAATAATGACCAAATACCTGAATACCATGAATACAAAGGGTCTTCATGACCCAAGTCCCCCACTATCCCAGTTCTCCAGGGTTATAAAGTTAGGGAAGAAAGGGCTGATTTGAGAGAGTCCAGGAGTCAACCACTTATACAGTGCTCACCTGTTGTCTCTTGTTTAACAGCCTATACTGGTTTCTATCTCTCCTTATCAGTTCTTTTTCTGGTCACTGTGAAATCTGAATGTCGCATGTTATATAGTATATACAGTAAACCAGTTGTAAAGGTACTTCAAAAGATAGCATTTGAATACCAAATATTTAAGTGAGGCCCTTGGAAAAAATTAAGTTTTCATACAGAAATTACCCTCTGCAGAAGTTTGAGGGATGGTAGAAAGTGTCCATTTTATTTGCTATTATGCAACTTTGTACAACATTGATACTCCCCAAAATAATACCTGATATATTCTTTATATTTCAATGGTTGATGCAGAGTTGCAATTATAGCCACTCTTTAAAGAGAAGGAGGCAAAATAAGCAAAATCAAAATAAAGTCCTATTCAACTTTTTGCCACTATGAATTGAAATTTTGGTCGGCAGTATAGATTCACTGTAAAGGGCCTTTTTTGGATATCAGATAACAAGGACCTGCTGTACATTATTGGCACAAGAAGGTATTCATTCATGCTAAAATAGTCCCCTCAGGTATAATGCAGAAATTTTAACCACCAACCCACTAGGAAAAACTGCCCCTGGCATTCATTTTGCTCTTGGAGTACTCTGTCTTAAGACCCTTCAGTTGGTCTACAGAGGAATCTCTCTTTACTGGCCCCTTCCATAGCATTTTCTGTGAGCACTGGCTTATTTTCTCAGCCCTCACTGTGAGGTGCACCTACCTCCCAACCACTCCTATCCCTTAGGATGCGGAAGGGAGAGCTGTTTGACTATCTCACAGAGAAGGTGGCCCTCTCAGAAAAGGAAACAAGGTAATGGCTAAACCTGCAGCCCCTGGGGTGAGCAGGGAGTGGGGTGGGGCAGGGAGAAGTAGAGGAGACTGCCCCTTCCCCAGGTCCATCATGAGGTCTCTGCTGGAAGCAGTGAGCTTTCTCCATGCCAACAACATTGTGCACCGAGATCTGAAGCCTGAGAATATTCTCCTAGATGACAATATGCAGATCCGACTTTCAGATTTTGGGTTCTCCTGCCACTTGGAACCTGGCGAGAAGCTTCGAGGTGAGAGGACCTGGTGCCTTAAGAGGCTTGAAAGGGCCCAGACCTGAGGCTGGTTGGCTGGGTCTGAGAACTGAGTCCCAGGTACCAAGTAAAGGGAAGTCAGTACGTACTTCCCAAGTAGCCTTTAGGTGCAAAGCCGTATGTGCTGCTCAGAATGGATTTCCTGACCTGGGGAAGATGGAGGCAGGCAAGTGAGCAGATAAGTGGTGCACAGCAGGTTCTAGAGGCCATGTAGGGGAAGCCAGGAGAAAGAAGCACCTGATTTAGCTGGAGGGATACAGAGCAGAGGCTTGGAGTTGGGCCTTGGGAGGCTGGCTTTTCCCAGGAGGAAGACGAGGATAGCAGGACTTTGCTGCACACTTGGGGACTAGGAGAGATAGGAAGGGCTACAGTGTGTGGCTTAGGTGCTATGAGGAATCTGGTATGGCCAGACAGCTCTTCTCACCTGGAACCCTGGGACTCACCCAGTGCTAATACATTTGTTGTGACAGAAATAATTATGGTACAGATGGAAAACTAAACAAAGCTCAACTGCGAGACTCCTCAGAGCTTTTAATATGCTACTTTCTCTCCCTCAGTGGCTTTGCACTGAGTTAATTAATACTAACACTGGGAGCTTACTTTGAGCTTTGCACCATGCTTAGTCTCCACATGGCTTATTTCTCTGGATCCTCTGAACAACTCTGAGAATTTGTGTCTCCATTTTATAGATGTGTTTTGACTTTCCAAAGGTCCTATAGCTAGAATTTGAACTTGGGCAGTCTGACTCTGACTCACGCTCTTATTCTGTGGACTGTTCTTTTTTTAAAGAGATTTGAGGGTTTGGGTTTTTTTGATGAGGTACAATATGCTAGTTTTTCTGTTATGTGTTATACTTTTTAAAAAAAGATTTTATTTATCTTTACAGGGGAAGGGAAGGAGAGAGGGAGAGAAATATCAATGTATGGTTGCCTCTCATGGGTCCCCCACTGGGAACTGGCCTGCAACCCAGGCATGTGGCATGTACCCTGACTGGGAAATCGAACCGCAGTCGACTGGTTTGCAGGCCCATGCTCAATCCCGAGCCACAGCAGCCAGGGTGTGTTATACTTTTTTATTTCTTAAGGATTTTTAAAATTTATTCTTAAAGACGGAGAGAAACTTCAATGTGTGTTTGCCTCTTATGTGCTGTCTACTGGAACCCTGGCCCGCAACCCATGCAGTGGGCTGACTGGGAGTCAAACAGGCAACCCTTTGGTTCACAGGCTGGCACTCAATCCACTCAGCCATACCAGCCAGAGCTACTTTTTATTACTAATGTCCCCTATTTTCCATTTTGTTCACCTCTACCACGTCACCCCTGGACTTAATGTCTTATGGATGTTGTGCTTTGTTTTCCTTTGGACTTCCACATACACTTTTCTTCATTCTGGAATCACCTTTGCCCTTACTCCACCCTCTCCCCTGGCTTGGGTAATTCAGGTTTCACTTGAAAGCTCTAGGTCAGGTTAGATCCCTTGCTTTTTGTTCTTTACTTCCTTCATGGCACCTCCTGTCTTTGTTAGCTTTCATTTGCTTTCTGGTAGACACTGAATTTGGTAAGAGCACATCTAATTTACCAGTGTGTCTGGTGTGGTGTTCGGCACATGGAAGGCAGTAAATACTTGGTTTAGGAATGAATTTCCCAAGAAAGTCATTTTTAGTTTAGGCCTATCAAGATATCCTAGAGACTTCCACTAAGATGGAGGCATAGGTGGAGACGCCATGCTTCCTCACACAACCAAGTTTAGAGACAACTTAATAATAGCAACAGAAAACATAGCCAGCACACAGAAAATTGAACTTTTCAGAAGTCTGATAACAACAAATTCTTCAGCCTGACCGGTAAGAGGGGCGAAACCAGCAGCTGGCAGAGCGGGGTAACACAGGAAAACTTGTTCAGACAGACTCAGGCGCGCAGAATCCAGGTTCAGGGTTGGACCTGGTGGGCAACTCAGCAAGCGACCGTGGGGAAACAGCGAGGGAGCAGGGCTGCGGGTTGACTGTGGTCACCCATTCGTGTGTGGATAGACAAGCGAGGGAGTGGGTGATTGGACGAGAGCCAGCAGGCCCCAGTGGCGAGTGGCAGCAGAGGGCGCCGCCATTTCCCCGCTCTAACCCTGCCTCCACATACAGAGTCACAACCCAGCGACCTGGGAGTCCAAGGCTCCGCTCCTCATACTTAATGGGCGCAAACAGACCAAAAATGGCTCAAGAAGATCTCAAAGCCCCAGAGCCTATAAATCTAAGCGATGAAGAAATAGCAAAACTCTCAGACGCACAGTTTAAAACACTGGTAATCATGATCCTCACAGAACTGGTTGATTATAGCCACAAATTAGACAAACACATGAAGGCGAAACTAATTGAAATGAAGGGAATTGCACAGGAAACCAATAGCGATGAAAAGGAAACTGGGACTCATATCAATGGAGTGGACCAGAAGAAAGCAAATAATGGCCAAACAGAAAAGAGTGAAGAAGCAAGAATTCAAAAAAATGAGGAGAGTCTTAGGAACCTCCAGGACATCTTTAAACGCTCCAACATCCAAATTATAGGGGTACCAGAAGGGGGAAAGGAACAGCCACCAGTGGAAAACTTATTTGAACAAATAATAAAGGAGAATTTCCCCAATCTGGCAAAGGAAATAGACTTCCAGGAAGTCCAGGAAGCTCAGAGAGTCCCAAAGAAGTTGGACCCAAGAAGAAACACACCAAGGCACATCATAATTACATTAGCCAAGATTAAAATGGAGACAATCCTAGAAGCAGCAAGAGCTAAGGGGACAGTCACCTACAAAGGAGTCCCCATCAGACTGTCAGCAGATTTCTGAAAAGAGACCTTACAGGCAAGAAGGGGCTAGAAAGAGGTATTCCAAGTCATGAAATCCAAAGACCTACAACCCAGATTGCTTTATCCAGCAAAACTTTCATTTAGAATGGAAGGGCAGATAAAGTGCTTCTCAGATAAGATCAAATTCAAGGAGTTCATCATCACCAAGCCCTTATTATATGAAATGCTAAAGGGACTTATCTAAGAAAAAGAAGGTAAAAAAAACATGAACAGTGAAAGGACAGCAAACTCACAGTTATTAACAACCACACCTAAAACAAAAGCAAACTAAAAGGACAGCTAGATCAGGAGTGGAAACATAGAAATGAAGATCTCAAGGAGGGTTAGCAACAGGGGAGTGGGAGGAGAAGGAGGGAGAAGGTACAGAAAATAAGTAGCATAGACAGTAGATAGAAAATAGATGGGGGGGCAAGAATAGCATGGGAAATATAGAATCTAAAGAACTTGAGTCACATGGTCAGAAACTAAAGGGGGGTAATGGTGGGGACAGGGGGTAGGGTGGAGGGGAATGAAGGGGGGAATAGAACTGTAACAGCATAATAAATAAAAAAATAAATAAAAAAAAAAGATATCCTAGAAGTATGCCATGGAATACAGTTTGGAAATTTCTAGAGGAAATTGGTACCTGAAATGGTGGAGGAAACTAAAAATATAGTCTTTGATCAAGTCATGGAGGGCTCTGTACTGTAAGAGTGGACTTGATCCTGAGGCTATAATGGGGACCTAGGGAAAGGCTTTAAACAAGAGACACAGCTTGTGCCTGAAGGAATCCCATACTCCTGCTTATTCCCCTTTGGTTTTGAGTGGTGGTTCCACTGACCAGAGTAGAGATTATAAGAAGAGTAGATTTAGGCAGAAAAGAATGCAGAAAAGTTGTTTTCCATGTGTGTTAGGTATATAAAAATGTGGTAACATGTGGGTAGGTTGGTTTGGCCAGAAGGCTGGAGGCAAGTGATACAATGGGGTGGGACCTGGAAGTCAAACCCAAAATCAGGTTTTCCTTAATTTTTTCCAAGGCCACCAGAGGCTTGGTGGATATTTGAGTTGTTCAGCAGGGTCAGGATCTAGTACTGAGACTTAGCAGAGGCAGTCGGGAGCAGAACAGGAGTACTTATGGCCCTGGCAGGGCCTTTTTTGTTTTAAATTAATTTTTAGAGTCCCGGCTGGTGTGGTTCAATGGATTGAGCGTGGGCCTGCAAGCTGGTGGGGGGGCGGGTCACTGGTTCGATTCCCAGTCAGGGCACATGCCTAGGTTGCAGGCCAGGTACCCAGTATGGGGCTCATGAGAGGCAAGCATACACTGATGTTTCCCTGTCTTTCTCCTTCCCTTCCCCTTGCTCTACAAATAAATAGTATAAATTTATTTGTAGAGAAAATAAATTTAGTATAAATTTATACTAAAAAAATAGTATAAATTTATACTAAAAATAAATTTAGTATAAATTCATTTATACTAAAAAAACAGTATAAATTTATTTGTAGAGAAAGGAGAAGGGAGAGAGAGGGGGGGAGAAGAGCATTGATATGAGAAACATCAAATGGTTGCCTCTCACGCACACCCCAACCAGGGACCAAACCTGCAGTCCAGGCACATGTCCTAACCGGGAATTGAACCTGCAACCCCTTGCTTTGTGGGACAACATCCAACTAGTTGAGCCACACCAATAAGGAAGGCCCTGGCAGTTCTGAGGCTCCAGGAGAGGGCTGGTGTTAGGGCCCTTGAGGGAACTGGTGGCATCCCATCAATCTCTGCTCTCATTCCAGAGTTGTGTGGGACCCCAGGATATCTAGCACCAGAGATCCTTAAATGCTCCATGGATGAAACCCACCCAGGCTATGGCAAGGAGGTTGACCTGTGAGTTTCTGGTATCCCCTGCCCCATTCCTGTGTACTGTCCTTCAGTACATTTACCCAGCACCCAGTCCTACCTGACTTTGGTCTCTTTCCCAGCTGGGCCTGTGGGGTGATCTTGTTCACACTTTTGGCTGGCTCACCACCATTCTGGCACCGGCGTCAGATCCTGATGTTACGCATGATCATGGAAGGCCAGTACCGGTTCAGTTCACCCGAGTGGGATGACCGTTCAAATACAGTAAAAGACCTGGTGAGCTGGGGCCATGAGGGTGCAAGGCGGGAGGTCTAAGAGTTGCCCCTTATGCTCTGGAGTTCCTCTAGATTTCGAGACTGCTGCAGGTGGATCCTGAGGAGCGCCTGACAGCTGAGCAAGCGCTACAGCACCCCTTCTTTGAACGATGTGAAGGCAGCCAAGCCTGGAACCTCACCCCTCGACAGCGGTTTCGGGTAAGCCTGAGAGTGTCAAGTCTGGGGCTATTTCTCTGTCCCATGCAGAGGATGCTACATTGAGCTCACTCTCCTCCCTGTTCTCAGGTGGCAGTGTGGACAGTGTTGGCTGCTGGACGAGTGGCCTTAAGCATCCATAATGCACGGCAGCTGACCAAGGGTGCACTGTTGAGGGATCCCTACGCACTGCGGCCAGTGAGGCGCCTCATTGACAGCTGTGCCTTCCGGCTGTATGGGCACTGGGTAAAGAAGGGCGAGCAGCAGAACCGGGCAGCCCTCTTCCAGCACCGGCCCCCTGGACCTTTTCCCATCATGGGCCCTGAAGAGGAGGGGGACTCAGCTGCTATCATGGAGGATGAGGCCATGCTGGTATTGGGTTAGCACATTAGCCCCTGGGTAATCCTAGAAAGCAGGACTCTCCAGGAGGATTTTTATTATTCCAGCCCCTTTGAGCTCTGGCCTCAGGCCCTACTGCCTGGCCAAACCCACCACTGATCATACTGTCATAAAGACCAGCCCTATACACCTACCCCAACTGGCCAAGCCTTTTGAGATCAGAGCTGCGGTGGAAAGGAGCCACTCAGAATGTTGTGCCTGTCCTTGTTAGTACTGCCTGTGCTGTATATACAATAAAATCTACACCAGGGAGCGCCAGTGCTCTGTGTCTGGTGTCTGGCTTTGGTGGGCAAGCCCAGAGGGGGATGGGGCCCAGTCTGGCCCAGGTTTTTATTGGGGCAAATGTGGGGGGGGGGTCACTTGGTCTTATTCTTGCCTTTGCCTGGAAGTGGTTGGAAGGACCGCTCTAGTGTGTTCAACTTGCTGCTGAGCCTTTCCTCACTGGCTCTGAGCCGTTCTTCCACCAGTTGTTGGAGCTGCCCCAGTTCCTTGTTGAGCTGGTTCTTGATGTAGGCTCGAAGGATGGAGACCTGGCCTGCGGGGGCAGGTAGGGAGAGGCAGATCAGGAGAGATGCTTCCGGGGGCTGAAGGATTGCCCAAAGCTGGGAATACAATTTCCAAGGTCTCTCTGGGGCTACACAGGTAGCAATGCTGCTTCAATTCAGAAAATGTCAACCAGCCTTTCTGTGAGAGAGAGGTGGACAGAAAGGCTGTACGGGACTTTCTGGATTGCTATTTAGTAGCTTTGTGAATTTAGGTTTCCTCCTATGTAAGATGTGGATAGTGACAGCACCTAGCAACTAGGATTGAAGGAGGATTAAATGGTTTAATATATGTAAAATGCTTAAAACAGCCCTGACTGGTGCAGCTCTGTCGGTTGGACATAGTCCCACAAACCAAAAAGTCACCAATTCAATTCCCAGTCAGGGCACATGCCGGCCAGGTCCCTAGTTGGGGGCATGTGAAGGGCAACCGATCAATGTTTCCTCCTTTTTTACTCCCTTCCCCTCTCTGAAAATAAATAATAAGTAAATAAATAAAATCTTTGTAAAAATAAAATGCTTTAAAGAGGGCTTGCCAAGCACGTAAGTGCTGGCTATTATTGTCATCGGTTTTATAACCCTTTTCTGGAGCTCCTGCTTCACCCCAGGCAGCTATAGTTTTATCTGTCATCTGGGACTTCTGCATAAGGAATCATTTAGAGAAAGGACACCATGACTAAAACAAAAACTCTGAAGTCTTGATGTGGTCTAAAGCCTTCATTTTACACCTGCCCAAAGTCCCAGGGGGCCCTAACCCTACCAGGTTCTTACTTGACTCTTGCTCTGGCTTGACCACTGTTTCTGGCTCCTCTTCTTGTAGGGTGACAGCCTGTTCTTCCACCTCTTCACCTTCTTTCTCTGCAAGCCAGAAGCAGGAGACTTGAGCCCCAGGAAGGAAGAGACTTGAGCCCCAGCCCAGCCCTAGCCCCAGCATTCTCCCTTACTTGTCTCATCCTCTGGCCAGAGCTTAGGTGGCTGTAGCCCCACATAAGTCAAAGACAGATCCAGCCGCACCTGAGAAGAGGAAGAGGGCAGCTGAGAGGAGGGCACCTGCACTGATGGAAAGGGAGAGGTGAAGGGTGGTCTCTTACAGCCCATGGCCCAGTACCTGGGGTGTAAATGCATATTTGTAGAGCTTGAAGTGGCGGAAGTAGGTGTTGACCACATAATCTGCCAGGGCCAGCAGCTCTTCCTCCTTAAAAAGGTTGATACTGAAGGGGGGCCGCTGTGGGGGTGATTGGGAATTATAGAACTGACTACCTCTTGAAGCTCTGGGCTTTTCTCCTAGTGCCCAGCAGTCCAGAAGCAGGGAGAGCCTACTGTGGCCTTCAGAGAAAGATGAGTATAAGAGAACAGGAGATTGGGCTAGGGTTTATCTGGGGAAGAGTGAAGGTCCCATTCAGGGGAACTGACCCTGACTCCATGGCAAAAAAGAAGACTGGTGAAGTAGCGGTAACATTCCTCCACATTGCCCAAGGAGGTTTCTGGGATGGAAAACAAGATATTTCACTGAGTTACCTCTCATAATCACTCATTCATTTCATGCAACAGCTACTTACTAAGCATGAACTGTAAAAGTGGACAGACCTAGGTTTGAGTACTGGCTTGTTATTAACTCAAATATTGAAATATTGAGTGAGTTATGATGCATCTTGGCACTGAACGAGACAGACAAGGCCCCTGCCCTTAGAGGCTACGTTAGTGGAAGTGACATACAGTAAACCAAAAAATACATAATTTTAGCTCTTATTAAACACTTTAAAGAAAACCAGTTCTGGAAATAAAGGGAGAAAAGCAAGAGCTACTTTACTGAGCACTGTGCATATATTTACATATATCTCAGAGAAGTCTCAAAGTGAGTTCTTATTTTATAGATAAGAAAATGGAGGATTTCAAAGGTGAAATAATGTGTGTGGTAACACTGCTAGTAATGGCAGTCCCCAAGCGGTAATCTCCCTACTTCCCATGGTTACTTGTGCCATCCAGCCTCTTCCTCTTCCCTGAGCTCAAACCTGGTAGCCTCCTCCTCTTACCAATACAGGCCTTGTGAAGATCTTGGAGCAGGGCACAAGCTGTTGATGTCTGCTCCAGTGAGAACCCCTTCTGGCGGCAGAAGATGAGTGTGTGGGAGAACAGGTCCAGGGTGATGGCATCCTGCAGGCTCTGCTCAGGACACCCTAGTCCCAGCAGCTTGGCCAGCACCCTTGAGAGGGAGAAAGGAGTGAGTGATGATAGAAGCCCCCTGTCACTACCTAACACTATTGTATGACATGCTTTGGAGCCAGGCATTCCTCATGCCTTCCCAGTCCGCCTTCCCAGTCCACCCTCCTCAGCCTTTCTCATGCATCTTTCCTTCCCTGTTTCTCTCCCTGCCCCCATACTCCCTCATCTCCTCAACGTTGGCTGTCTTCTCTAGCCTGTGCATGGAATGGATGTCCAAGTACTTCCTGTCATAGGAAAAGAGAAGAGGTGTTGGCAAGCTTTGTGCATTCATCTTATAGCAGGCCTAGAGCACTGGACTGGGAACCAGGAGACTCGAATTCTGTGTGTGTGGTACCACACACATTCTCTCAAGGTTCAGCCCTCCCATGAACTTGCTGTGTAACCTTAGGCAACGCACTTTCCTATCTGGGCCTTATTTTGCATCTGTAAATACCAGTGTGGTCTAAAGGAACTCATGATTCTCTTCATTATAAAGCCTAGGATTAGGAGACTTGAGTTCTTGTCTCTGCACTGTCATTCACTTGCTGTATGACCTTGGGCAAGTTCCCCTGTGGGCCTCAGTGTCTCCATTTGCATAATGCTCCATGGCAGCTGTATTATTCCATTTACATCCTCAGTCTTTGGCTCCCTTCTTCCCACACTTGCTCTTTGCACTGCGGAGGCAGGAGAGCAGGCTTCTAGTCACCTTGGGTAATTGTATCTCTGGGCCTCAGTCTCCTCATCTGTAAAATGGGGATGCCCTGGCTGTTTGACAGGATGGCTGGGGAGGCCCATAAGTGATAATGCAAGGGTGAAATACAACTGTTTCCCATTGCTCTTCACACTCACCACATGCAGATCCGGGGCTGGGGCAGTGGAGGCTGCGGAGAGAAAGCAGACTGAACCAGGGCCCTAGTCCCTGGCCCGTGGGGAATCTCCAGGGGACCTGAGAAATTCTTAATTGCTTTCTGGCCTTAAGGACTAACAATGATCAAGCAACGCGGGTGGGCTGGGCTTAGCAGGCCCCAAATACTAACATTAATGAGCATACTATCATTCGGGGTCACACCCGCCTCTTCACCAGGCAGCCCAGAAAACTTCTTGAACATCAGTAAACATAAAGATGAGTAGCGCTCTGCGGGGTGCCCTTTGTAAACATACATGAGCGGCCTACTCATTCCCGCCCTCACCGGGAACAAACTGGCTGCAGGATCTTCATTCTCTTCCGATGCCGCGGTTCCGGATTCGGTCCGCACACCTGTTCCCTCACGCGTGGCTGGTTCGTCCACCGAGCTGAGGTCCTTCTCGGGTTCCTGCCGCAGTTTGGAGTGTTGTTCAAGCTCCGACTGACTTCTCAGTCCTTGGAATTGGCTGGACTTCTGATGGATCATCTCGTTACTACTCAGTGTCACCGGTCACCGCAGGCTCTATCCTGCCTGTGTTCTGTGACAACGGATTTTCGGCAGGCCCTTCCAAGGCCTGACCGAGCTTCAGCCAATCTACGCTGTCAGGGGCCGCGGGTCTCCACCTAGTCTGTTGCTGAAGTGCCTCGGGGAAAGAGAAAAGAAAGTGTAATGCGCTCACCAATCAGTGAGAAGAGAATGCGCATGCGTAATAAATTGCAAAGCGCCTCACCCGGCTTCTCTAAAGTTGCTAATAGGGGGGCGGGCGTTGTCCTCAGGACTCGGGAGGGGCAGTGTGGTGTCGGTTACCATGGGCACTGTCTACTGGCCAATCACCGAGAGAAAGAGGAGGTGCTCAAGAAGTAACGAACGGGACTGGAGAGGAGGGACCGACCGCGACCAATAGAAACAGGAACTGCAGTTCCACTACATCCCCCGCACAGCCTCTAGCGCCTGCGCTCTGTGGTAGGGAGGCCGGTGACGTCTGGTGAAGTTCAAGATGGCGGTCCTGGGCTGATTCTGCTCCGGCTGGTGAGGGGCCCGGGCTGAGCGGGGCGGGATGCAGCAGGTGTAGATGTGTGCGGGAGAGGGCTGGGACTGCAGAGTACTGGTCGCGTCCACGTCTATGCTCTCTGTCTTCTGCAGGTGACGGAAGTACCGCCGACTCCTGCCTGACGTCCCTTGGGGAGACCCTGTGCCACCCCTTGCCGCCACGGCCATGTCTGGGCCCGGCAACAAACGCGTCGCCGGCGACGGGGGCTCGGGACCCCCAGAGAAGTTGAGCCGGGAGGAGAAGACCACAACCACGCTTATAGAGCCCATTCGTCTCGGGGGCATCTCTTCCACGGTTCGTGGGTTCTTGCCTCAGCCCTCATAACTTGCCAGATTTCCAACTGGTCTCCACTCAAATCGACTGGAACCTTATTACCAGTTCCCTAAGTTTAGCAGGATCGGCACTCTGTTGAAAGAAACGAAGAACACGTCGTCTACTTTCCCTTTACACATAGGAAAGCAGGCTCCTCGAGGGCGTGTGCCTCAAAGACTGCAGAGTTAGGAAGAGACAGAAGTAGACCCTCCTTACAACCAGGATGCTGTCTGTGGGTGTCTTGAG